TTTCAACAGGGATTTTTCACCATAAGTAGAGTCTAAAAGATATTTTTTATTTACTATTTAGAAGTAGAAAGTGATAAACCTGATCATTCTCCAGAAGGGTGTCCCAGTTATTATCCTCCAACAAATTCCTGGTTGCCTCATAGCTCAAGGCTACTCGATAATTCAAATCTCCAAGCCATATTACTCGGCTGCAATATTTAACAATTGATGAATCATAGACATTGCCGACAATTTAATTAAAAAAAAAAGGGGTCCAATAATTATCTCAATAAAAACGTACTCATGCTCAATGATTTTCTCCGGGGCTCGATGATTCGGAGTTTTGCAAATGATCGGGAACTGTGTGCCTTTGAGAATCTCAGAAACATCAGCATTTCTCCTGAGCTCATCGCCTTCTTTTTCACCCGAAGCTAAGTGACAGCACACGAAGCAAAAGCTCGTTTGGTACAACGATATGCTTATTGCTATACACCCCTGCAAATATTTGATTGTTTGTTCCCCATATGAATTAAACTTGGTGTCGTATTATTCTCAAACATGTAGTTGATCACAATATCAGGGTTTCAAATCGCGGTCGCGGTTGCGTTTTCGGTTATTTCGGATTTACCGTGATTGTGGCCGTCACGGGTAACTCGGACGGCGGCGAAACCGCTATATCGCGGCCGAAATCATGGTCGCGGACCGTTTTTTAAAACCCTGCACAATATAGTAAACTGAGAAGATCAAATCCTTATGATTCATATACCAACCTTGTTGCCAAGGCGTTTCATTATACCTCTTCCTACAGAGGATACTCTGACATGACCAATGTGTGGCATCAACTCCTTTCGAGCCCATATCGAGAGGAACAGTCCAACCATCTGCTTGCTGGTGATAAGGCGGTAATTCATTTCTTCAGTTGTACGAAGTGGGAATATCTCAGACAGTGCAACCAACTCACCGATACTAGTATCAGAAGCCACAGGTAAGTGACTAATGTCTAGATCATTTGCTAAATTCCGAACCGTCTTTTGCCTTCTGTCGTCCCCAATTGTGGATTCAACAGGGCAGTTGCAAGTCTTGAGAAGGCTACTCCCAGCCATGAAATTCTTACTCAGGATCTTGAGCACAGGTTTGTCGAAAATGTGCGGATTGGTAGGTGATTTCAACTCCTTGGAGGTATTAGTATCAGAGGTTTTCGAGTCATTGCCAGAGTCCAAGTGCTTGGGACTGTGATGCGGCTTGTTAAGTGCTTGGTTTATAAGTGCAAGCCATTTTGCAGCAGGCTCATTGTCTTCACTTACTAGAACGTTTCCAGCATTGAGTGGAACAATTTCTTGAAACCTGGGAAATCAATGTTCTAAGTAAAACACACATTGCAGAAGCCAGAAAAGCAGTATGAATCTGGAAAACAAAATCAAACAACTCACGACAAAGACACTATCTTTCTTATCATCTTGGTATAGGTATCTCTCCAGGCTAATCTTTATAGACCAGAAACTGAAGAAGAAGGAACAAAATTCTGAGTCAGTCATACCCACAAACATATATATCTGCAGAGCCCTCCATTAGAAAGAAATCTTCCAGGTTCATGTCACTGTTGGGTGTCTTCCCTCCCACATTCCAGGTTGCAACAAATATCCTGCAAGCTCTAAGATGTAACATAGGCCTAATCCAATATGAAATAAAAAATTTGAACCACAACATTGAATCCATACCGAAAATCTCGAATTTCAGTCACCGATGCCATGGAACACTCGAAGTTTGAGAGATTCAGCCCTTCGATTAACCCGCAACTTTCCCTTCTTTCTGAAAGTAGATAAGAATTAGCAACATAATGTACATTATTTTTTCCCTCTCCCAACTCTAGATTCTAATACTAACAAATTTGACAATGATAAAGGCCAAAGGGTCAACATCAGAACTGGAACATCCTCTGATCCATTTAGATTTCCCCCCATTTCAGTTTCTAGTATCTGGTTTATAAATCAAACTATTTCTTGTTAGGTAAGCTACCAAAATTTTGTACCAGATAAGAACAACTTGGTCCCCTTGATGATAGGATAAGAAATGAAAGCTGTCAAGCACTATTAATGTCTATTTTTATGTATTCATGTCCAACACATTTCTAAACATACATCTTTGCTTATTGTTCATACAAACATTGAAAAAATCCTTGTCGAACATGTACTCATATCAGACACACATCCGAATCGAGTGACATATAATTATTTTATATATATTAGAATCAACATTTTCACAACATCCTGGAAGGAAATTATGGGCTGATGGCACCTAATACACTAACCATACCTAAGAAATTTCTTCTTAAGCGAGAAGAGGCTTCCAAAAAGTCTTTGTTGGTTGATGCCATCTTAATCTTCTTCTCCAAATCTACCAAACGTAACCCATAAAATACTTTAAAACAAAACTGAAAAAGAAAAGGAACATTGATAGTCTGATAAGGGTGATACCGGCAGAAATTTTATCACAATCCGGTGATGCAAAATCATCGTCTGAGCCGCCTCTACCTCGTCTCTTAGAAGCAAAAATCTTTGGCATATTGAACTTGACCCCATTGAAAAAGGTAAGCAAAATCAAATCAAATATCGAAACAATTGTTTAGCCATGCACAAGATCAAAGATTATAATGTACCTTCTTTTTCTTGTCATTTTTTACGGAGTTTTCAGGAGAGGTGATGGTTGTACGCTGCTGGTGGCGGTCTTCATCGTCCCCAAGCTGGCTTTCATTCATTAGGTTACTTGGAAAGGAAGAAACAACCGTCAAAATTTCCAATACTCTTAAGCTGTCAAATGACAAATATTCATAACAAAACACCAAACAAAAATCTGGGTGTGTGGAGGATTTTTCATTTTTGATTTGGAAAATTAATTAGATGAAAACTTTTTTTGTTTCTGTTTTTGGTTTTTTGACCATTCTGAAAGGATGAGACATTGGCGCCAATTGTTTCGGAGAGTTTAAGACTTATTTTAAAAGTGTAAGCAAAGAACCCGTTGAGTAGCAGTTTACAAATTGAAAAACTGCTATGATATAACTGCTGATTACATCATCTTTAACTCTTGGGTAATTTACACGGGAGATCCCTTTCCTTATCTGTCTCTCTTTTAAAAAATTACATTCCGACTACTTTTATTTTTTATCCATCTTATTTTGGTCACTAAACTATTAATTTCGATTAGTTTATTAACGTGCCACATTAATAATACAGATTTATTAACCAAAATATAATAATTTTATCCAACATGAAACGTGCCATTGGGCTTGTGTTACTGGAACATCTCATCCATATTTTCCCTGTAAACATCAAGACTCTGCATGTAGAAAATACAGCAACCGGTTCACCGGATAAGTCACGGTTTTATTCAATCAAATCCAGTGAATGATTGATCGATATCATATTAACTTGGTGTAGGCATACGTGCCAGCCTCTTGGAAGCCCACGAGTCTTCCTTGTAATACCCTAATTTTGTCCTAAAATTAAAAAGGGAACAAAATATAAGGACTAAGTTCGTATTTATACCATTTGGAATTTTGAGGGTATAAAAACCAACCAAAAAGAAAAGAAAAAAGCTCCCGATTTTGTGAAGAAAAAAAAAATGAAAGAAAGCTGCATCTCTCTCCTTGGTATTCATATTTATCTCCATTTTTTTATGCTTGTTTTCTTTAAGTATTAAAGTAAATGTGGTGAGGATGATTTGGTCGATGTCTCCAAGAGCAGTAACACCACTATGACTCGTCGATGTCTCGGAAGCATCCTCAAACTTCATAAATTATCTCAATTGTGAAACCACCAAGTGGGCGTAAAGAATAGGAGCAATGACAGAGATTAGTGTAGTGCCCTAATCCAAGAGAACATGATAATTGATTCGACCTTGTGGTGACCCGATCCGGAGTATGATCCATATTATTATAGTTCGGACTCTGCTAACCACTAACCGTTAACTATTTTAACATCTAGCATTTCTAATCGCTAACTATTAATTGTTAACATTTTATTAATTTGTTTGTTTTATTTTATGTTCGAACCATGTATGACCTTACGACGACCCGCCCCGGTGTATGACTCACATTATTTACGGTCCGAGATAAATAATAAAATTCGATACTAACATTTTATTTTTATTGTATTTTATTTTTGTTATTTAATTTTATGTATTTTTAGATTTATACTTTTTTATTTTCTTTATTTAATTTCAGTCTTTACATTTTACTTACTTTAATGTTCTAATCGTTTATTTGTCTCTCTATTTTTCAGTATTTTAATTTTATTTGTTTAATTATTGTGTTTTATTTTTTATTTATTTTACTTCTATAATTTAATTTTTGCATAGTTAGATTTTGTTTCCTTACATTTTACTATGTATGGATATTATATATTTATTTGTATTATTTATTTATGTATGTATGTATGTATGTATGTATGTATGTATTCTTTGCTCTTGGGAATTGGTTTCAAATGATTGTACAAAATGTTTGTTTCATTCATTTTTAACGCTTTTTTTATTCTAATATTTTCAAGAACACTTATTTGTAGAACGGGCGTGGAAAGCATTGCTTGGTCGAAGTAATACGATCCGATACGACATTCGAACGAAATGTAAACTCGAAATAAATTAAATTTATTTTTTTAAAAAGTAATAATTAATTTGTTATTATTCAAATGACGCAATGCATGTTTTATGTTTGATTTGTGCTTTTGATAACGTTGAGGAGGAAACATTTCTCGTATAAAGGAGAAATAAATGAGATAGCCTTCCCATTGAAGGATGTGCAAATCCCGTGATTTCTTCTCAAATTAAGAAAAGTTACATAATAATTAAATCGAAGCAAATTAATTAAACTTTAATAAATGGATCATATTCTAACTTTATATTTGATTTATAATTTCCACTACCGCGATAATATATAAGCGACTAAGTACTAATTTTGGGTCAAGCTGTCTTAACCATTTTTTTAAAACTATTTTATATTTTAAAAAAACAATTTATGACTTTCCTCTTCTAATAAATTCACCCTCTTTGTGTATGTATAGTAAGGGAGTCCCATTTGGCAATTCTAAGGCAGATAGGAAATAGAGGTTAGGTTATTATTAGCTATATATCATGACGAATACTAACTAAAACATGGTTTGCTACCTTCTCTGGAGTTAATTTTTCTAGATACATGATGATAGACCTCAAGGTATTCGCATGGGCAGCAACCATCATGTGCTTTCCAGATTGAAGCTGGGGTTCAACCTGTAATGAAATCTTACTTGTTCATTCGGTTCTCAAGATTAAGATGTTTTAAAACCGAGGTTCACTTACATGTTCTCTAAAATAGGCTACAGCTCTTCGAGAGCACATCTTCAAGCTCTCACCATTGGGTGGAGGAATATCAAAACTTCGTCGCCACTCATGAACTTTCTCTTCTCCATATTTTTCAGCTGTTTCTTGCTTGTTGCCCCCGTATCTGAAGAGTAGAAAAGCTTGTTTCATGATCAAGCTCAACCAAGAAAATGTCAAAAGCACAAATATGGGAAATTAATGTACATTCTTTCATCCAACTCCGAAGCTGTTATAACTGGACTAGATTGACTTTTAGTTTCTTCACTGAAAACCCCATTCCGATATTCTTTTTCCAGATCACTTTCCTTTTGTTGTATGATAGGTACCTGAAAAACATACAAGCAAATACTAGTTGCTAATACATAAAATGATAGCTTCCATTGCATTGAACAGAGGGACAACAAGATTTTGCATGACTGAAAAAGAAAGAAAAGAAAAGATGTGAACATCATTTTATGGCACCTTTTTTGTGGCGGTGTTCGGTCATGGCAAGCATAGCTGTCATCTGTGAACGAATCAACGAAGACGTATAAATCATATCTACAGGTATATTGCTTATTCTTTTGCCAGCTTCGATTGCTTCCTCTATACCTTTCTTGGATAATGGAACATTGACACAACCAGTGAACAAATTCTTCTCATTCCATAGAGACTCACCATGTCGAATTAATATCAAAGCAGACTCCACTACATAAAAAAATACATAAATTCATGATTAACAAACAATAGACACCTTAACCTCCCTTAACAATAACAAGTGGCAAACATGAAACACCAATGAGGCGAATGATCAACTCACCTGAAGTATTGTTTTTGTAGTCATCTGTATTTTGTGAGAGAGATGAAACTGGATGCACCACTGAGACAATGCATTAAGTAGGTGCAATTTTGACTGGCCGTTGATACAACTCCCTTTTGCAAGCAATGTAATGTCAAGTGCAAAAGCCTTTGAGATAAGCTGTAATGAATGATTCCTATATTTGTTGTAAGTGCCCCATTCATCACCACTGGAATTCAGATGAATCGTGCCTGCTGTTTTGTGGAACATGACAGCAGCAGCCGTCCTGATAAACAAGCGATCAACCAAAAAAGGTCTGGATAAAGGAAAGTGAGAGTAGTCTCTCTCGTTAACGCACAAATTGACCAGGTAATATTACGTGTGCATAACAAAACTCTGAGTTCCCTCCCTTTATGTTAAATTAGGAAAGTTATTCATATTATTTTTTAAATAATACGAGGTGATTAGAAGGTAATATGTGTTTAGAATTGTTTTAATTATTGACAAGATACATATGATGAAAACTCTGCTCAAATTAAAAAAACAAGACTTCTAAGAATAACATCATTCTTTTTTATCATTGAAATCACTTAAAATAAAATTAAGAAACAACTATAAATAAAATTAATTAGAGAAATAAAATCATTGTTACAATGAAGATCGGAGTTGTCATCTTTTATTGACGACATTACAGAAGTAATCACACCCTATTGACGGATTCTTTTTCATTTTTGGATTAAAATGGAAAGAATAAAAACTAGGAGATTAAAATATAAATTTTCAAAAATGACCAACACCAATCATCTATTGAAATGTATGAATTTGAAACTTGCGTGTTTGCAGGGGAATGACTGCTGAAATTGGTGGAAAAAACTTACTCAACGGGAGAGTAACTGAGAACTATTAGGTGGGGCTATTGGTCTTATAGATGGAAGGAAAACCATTGGAGCCGATTGAGAACAACCTTATCAAGCTTAACTCAGAACTATTTGATCATCAAGCTTCATAAAATGGGGTCGGGATCCAGGATTCTTTTTTGTAAAAAATAAAATTAGTAATAATGCAATTTCAAGTCTCTCTTAAAAAAATCAGGATTAACATAAAATTAAATGTGGGTCCTAGTGGGATCTACATAGGAATTTATAGATTGTCTATCAAGGGTGACAGTGATATAATTCGATCTTGACCTTACAAGCTCAAATTCCTAAATCTCAACCACTTGTACCAACACTCGTCGGCAACAAGGTTTGTTTTTACACCAATACAACGTATCAGCTTTAATAAAACATATGGTAAATTATATAGCATGTGACTAAATTATTAGTAAAATTATAAATAAGTTATTTAATTAAAAAAATACATGCAAATTAATTAATCGATTGTCACAAACTATATCATTGAAATAATAAATGTAATACAACTGGTTATTAAAAAACTATAGCACAACTCTTTAATGTGGAATATTTTATTTAATAAAAATATTTGATTTTAAATAACTATAATTAAGTCACTTAATTAATTGATTGTAATAATTATTTCATTTGTAATTGCGTCGATCGTGATTTATGGTGATCGGTGAACTCCTTATTTCATCATAAGTTTCACCCTGATCTCACTAATTAATTCAATGAATTAGATTCTTGAGAATCTCTCTTGAAAGCCATGAAATCATCCTTAAACTTTTAGACTTCTTGAATGAAGATGTAGAATTCCATCTTGAGATATGTTCTTGGCCTCACAAATGAAAATCTCCAGAATTTGGGTGAGTTACACCACAACTCACCCAATTATTAGTAAAATGGAATTCATTTGACAAATGAAACTCTAAATGAGTTTTTTATTCAATCAATCGGGTGACTCATTTTGACATTTTGAAATTAGATGACCTATTTGTAGTCTTACTAATAATTGGGTGAGTTGTGTAATTTACCCATAAGAAAATTATTAAAAATTGTTTCCTAACGACACCTTTGTTTCGCAATGACAAACAATTGAGTGACTTGATTGTAACATTTTGAATATAAATGACTCATATGTAATCCTGCTAGTAATTGAGTAGCTTGTAGTATAATTTACTCTGTATTTGAAAGATATTTCAAACTTTAAAAGTAAATGAAATTATATCTCTCAAATACAAGTTATAAAATAGATATGAAAAATAGAAATCTGATTTGTCCACTTGATAAGATATTATGTGTGGCAGAAAAATCTTGTTGAATAGCATACTTCAATCCTCTTTTCCATCTTTTCCATATTTTCCGGGTTTGGGTAATAAAAAGTGTGTACAGGTGGAACTTATGGTGAAGATGAGAAGGGTGCATTGGGATACGATGAAGGTGATGATAGAGGTGCTCAGAAACAAGTGGTTGGGGTCCACGTATAAGACAGTGATTGAGAATGGGTTGACGGTGGTGGTGAAGAGGATGTCTGATGTAAAAGAAAGATTCAATTAGTATAATATTGAAATTTTGAGGGTTCATTTTTTTTGAATTAGGACCGAAATGAAATAAAATATAAAATTTGAGAGTTAATTTATCATTATATCAATTTTATTAGTTATCACAGGATGGCGGTTGTGGAGGGTCAATGAGTCTTATTTCAACTTGAGAGTGTCCCACAAGCAATTTTTGGGAGTAGGGAGTGGAGGTGTAGAAGCTGTTTCGAATACGCCCATCGATTTAGAGACGTTTCCAAGCATCACATGATGACAGTTGTGGAGGGTCCGAGTCGAGTTTGGTTCCAAGCATCGAATGGTTTGTTCCTACAGGTACGATCGGAGACACTGGTGAATGCAGAATATACAGGGTCCAGTTGGGACGATGGCGATCCATCTGTGTTCAAAATGACAATTGTAAACACCTTACAAGGTGATTTTCAAATCACAAATGGTTATGGTCCTGATAAAGCCCCTGAAGTCATACAGGTAATTAAGGCTCTTTTTACAAGTTAAAGCCAGGGTGTACTCGAATTGACTCTTGATGAAATGCATAATTTTTCAGGATCATTGGAATACTTACATCACGGAAGAAGATTTCAACTTCATATCAGCAAATGGACTAAGCGCCGTGAGGATACCTGTAGGGTGGTGGATAGCACAGGATCCGACTCCGCCACCGCCTTTGTTGGAGGCTCTTCAAAAGCAATAGACAATGCTTTCACATGGGCGGAGTAAGAAAATATCTTCTAGGGTGGACACAAAACAAGACTTAATTAAAAGCTGCAAAGAATCTTATGTTCGGAATTAATTCAGGAAATACGGGATAAAGGTGATTCTCGATTTGCATGCAATCAAGGCCTCGTAGAACGGTAACAATCACAGCGGGTCGAGAGACGATTTTCAAGAATGGGGAGATTCGAACATCGACGAGACTGGCAGTCATAGAGTTCCTTGCAGCAAAGTTGAACTCTAAACCACTTTATGTCATTCTTTTGCCTAGCCTAGACAATTTTTTTGATAGGAATGAAGATTTATTAAAATCAAAAGTCGAAGAACAAGTTATGAGCCTCGTTAAAAACCTCCCTAGTCTAATCGGAGGAAAAGAGTGCAACATAAGAGAACAATACAAACACACAGCCCAATACCGAAAGACATACATACAAAGATCACCAACACCTAGTACAGGCAACTCAAGATCAGAAAACACAACCGACACAAATAAGCACAAACTACAACCATCTATATAACAACAACAATCCCAACCAAAATAACCGAAACAATCCCAACCAAAATAACCGAAACCTAACTAAAAACAATAAGCAACCTAACAAAAATTCCTACAACTAGATTGATAACTTCACCCACTAAGAGCTATGAGTGTAATTATGTGGGCACCATTTGCACTAAGTGGGGAGATTTCTAGGTTACGTCAAATAAAAGACCTATGCTTTGGTTCTAAATCATAGAACGGTGGAACCAGACTTGGGCAGGCGAGAACTCCAACACTATAAAAGACAAAACGCCCACACATCGATAGCCCTGATTGATAGACCAGCAGCAAACACCACCTGCAAAACGATCTCATTACCCTTCAAAGCTACGCATGACTCCCCCACATCGCCCTCATGCGCCCCACTAACCTCCTCCAAGAGATTATTAAAGCCAACACTCTAGCGCATTGGAAATGGATCCCCACTACACAATGTTTAGGATTACAAAAATCCAAATCCCCATCACTTAATAAATCCCGCACATTCCTTCTAAAACAGCCCAAAATTCCACCTCATCACACACATGCACTCCACTACCTACCTCCAAAGCACTAAAAATCCACTCCTTAGTCAAAGAGAGACCGACTGTATCCCATAACGCAATATATGTGACTCTTCAAACAATTTACCTTCAAAAACAACGCGGAACTCCACCTCCGTTCCCACTACCGCCCCATTCCCTACCTCCAAAACAATAATAAATCATCTCCTCTGACATGTAAAGACGCGAACACCTTCCCCATACCCAAAATAATAAATCAGAGCTCATGAACAAACCAAGAAATCCTTGATAACAACACTCAACCTTATAAAAATAACCCACCAAAAAATGCCTCAGAAGCCAAGAAATCGAACT